CTGGGGATCAAACTCTCAAACTCATGTGAAAGTGGCTTTAGCTTCTTAGTACTGTGCTTTAACTCACTCAGGGAGACCCTGAAGTTATGATTTCTTTTGTTAACCCACCACCATGGAATCTGCAGAATTTGGGGTACTGCAATGTCCTTTTTCTACCCAAACCCACTACTAGTGTCAAGTGTATGCAGAGCTTGAATCAACCAAAGAATGGTCCCCCCCCCACACACACACACATTTAAAATTGTATGCAGGAATGCATTTCTTACCTGGCTCAGAATACGGCCACATTTTCTTCCTATTTTTTCCACCAAGTCAAAAATTGGAAAATTCCAAGTGTTGAGCTGCTCCATAATTGAGTCCAAGTTGTCCATAACAAGAGGTTCAGGAGCAAGAATTGGTTTGTCCTTTAATGAAAATGAAAATATTAATATGCAATTTTGTATAAAGCATTTCATGTTTTGCTAAGTTCAATTTAACAATCAAGTTAACCTGAAATAAAGAACTGAAAACTTCAGGATAAAAACAAAATCGGGATTAACAAGACATTGACCCCAAAGTCAGAAGAGTTCCTAATCACTGCTTTACATGTGCTACAGCAAAGAAAAAGAAAAGTGGAGTTTCTCCCATAAGTTAATAAAGCTGCTTTTTTTTTCCAGTTTGCCCAGAGGAAACCTCCCATCACCTTGACATTGGGTGTAGCAGTCAGTCGAGGCCCTGGGAGCCTGCAATAGGCCGTGCTAGTGATGAATGCAGGTGGAACAAGAACAGTCAGAGTACTGTTGATGAGCTCTGTCCTGGTCTGAGCCCTTCATCTTCCCCTGAACAGAGAAGATGATCATTACTCCCTAAGTTTTGCCCTTCTCTTAACAGAAGAAGCAATCATTCCTCTCTTCTAAGACCCAGAAGAATAAAGTTCAGGGGGTATCTCTTACATTCAGGTGTATTTTTATCAGTGAACACATATCTCTAAACAGCTTACCTTCACTTTTTAAATGAAGATGAAGCCACCTCCTTCTCAGTCAAGTAAAGTCTCCTCCTCTCTCTCTCTCGACACCTGAGATTCCTAAACCTGGAATAAATCTCCCTGGTCTACTCCACGGTACTTCAGAATTTATAAGCATGTAAATTCTTGACATGCATATTATTAACCGTTGGGCTATTCTCCTACCACTACATCTGTTGTTAGTTACTTCATCCATTTGGCCTTAAAAGAACCCAGATGGGGTGAGGGGATTCCCCCCTCAACCTCAACAACAGGTTGTGTCAGCCTTTTTTTTCCTGAACCTATGAAATTTAGAATACCTCTCCATCTTTTTGTGTATTGTGCCTCACTCTCTATTGTCAAAATATAGAATAAGCAGAATATGGTAGTCTACTCACTTGAAGTTGTATGTTTTCTTTTTAAAAATATTTATTTATTTATGCATACAAGAACTGAGGTGCAGGCCAGAGGTGTGGGTGGTGGTAGTGGTGGTGGATGGCAAGAGGATTCACCAGAGACAGAGTGGGGAACAGAACAGGTGGATCTACTGAAATACACTGCTGAGGGGAGCAGTGGGCGGGACAGGAGAGGTCTGCCACATCATATGGGTCACCTCCCTGGCTGGGGATCAAACTCTCAAACTCATGTGAAAGTGGCTTTAGCTTCTTAGTACTGTGCTTTAACTCACTCAGGGAGACCCTGAAGTTATGATTTCTTTTGTTAACCCACCACCATGGAATCTGCAGAATTTGGGGTACTGCAATGTCCTTTTTCTACCCAAACCCACTACTAGTGTCAAGTGTATGCAGAGCTTGAATCAACCAAAGAATGGTCCCCCCCCCACACACACACACATTTAAAATTGTATGCAGGAATGCATTTCTTACCTGGCTCAGAATACGGCCACATTTTCTTCCTATTTTTTCCACCAAGTCAAAAATTGGAAAATTCCAAGTGTTGAGCTGCTCCATAATTGAGTCCAAGTTGTCCATAACAAGAGGTTCAGGAGCAAGAATTGGTTTGTCCTTTAATGAAAATGAAAATATTAATATGCAATTTTGTATAAAGCATTTCATGTTTTGCTAAGTTCAATTTAACAATCAAGTTAACCTGAAATAAAGAACTGAAAACTTCAGGATAAAAACAAAATCGGGATTAACAAGACATTGACCCCAAAGTCAGAAGAGTTCCTAATCACTGCTTTACATGTGCTACAGCAAAGAAAAAGAAAAGTGGAGTTTCTCCCATAAGTTAATAAAGCTGCTTTTTTTTTTTTTTTTTTGGCCTATGATGGAGTCCTTAAATACAAGTTCAGAGACTTCAGAACATTCTGAAATTGTAAGAAATTTTATGTGTTTATATGTTTATGTAAAATTTCAGGATGAGGTTTTCCTGACTTAGCACTGATCTCTGAAATGAAATGAGGTAGAGGGGAGTTAATAACTCCTATAACTGGATGGATTTGTTTGACTGCTTTAAAATCAGTCCTAAACCTGTAAAATGAGAATTGCAGTTTTCCAGAGTAATATACCCTGAAATGCAAAAATTTTTCATAATTGAACTAAAATGAAGAAATTTTTAAGAACAGGTTTATCAATAAAAAAAGGGGGGGATAATGAGGAGGATAACAAAACAAATTATTTTATATGACAATCCCTTTGATTTAAAAATTACATGGTAAATTAGATTTATAAAAAAGGATGAATCTAGCAGCATCTAATAATCACCAAATAGTTAACTGTTTCCTACCTCCTTGCCTCTCTGCAGCTAACCTGACTCAAACATACATTTCCATCCTCTTTAAATGCATCTGTTCAGACACACAAAATAAATCATCATTAAAGGATATTTTTAATGGTAGCAAGTGTCAATAAAAACCTGGTTTAACATAACAAAGTAAATATACCGACTGACTGAGAAAGTTAAATTACTTTCTCAGTCATGGAGGTGTTGGAAAAAACAACCAGAAGTGCTGTGCTAACTAACACATTTCACTTTCCCTGACTTATATGAATATTGCATTACTTTATGAAATAATTCTTCCTGTGCATACTTACACTTTGAGACTGGGTTAAGAAATGTTTGTAATCATTTGTGGTGGCAAATACTTATATTTTTAACCATGAATAGAACCACTAAGAGGTCAGGAAAACTTGGATAAAGAAAAATATAGAGATTAGTTAAGAGCTATGATATATGTACAATCCTAATGGACCACATCTGTAACTCTATTTAAGGCTCTGTTCATTTTTCTCTCTTCTTGTTTTTAACTTTTTATTTTGAACTAATGTGAATTTTACAGCACACTTGCAGAACAGTACAGAGCACTCATAACCCTCCTCATTTACTTCCTTTCAGGTCTAATCTGACACAGTTGGCATATAATAAAGTCAGGAAGCTGACAATCACAGGCCATGTTCACTCAGTTATAGACCTAATTCATGTTTCATCCATTTCCCCACAAAAATCCCCTTTCTCATTCAGGGATTGATTTCTAAGCAATGCCTGTGGTAGAAGCTAATGTTTCAGTACAAGACGAGTTAAGTGACATGGAGCTACCAGGAATATCATGGAGTCGGGCGCGTAGGGGCTGCAAGCTGAGGCTTTCCTCAGAGGCTCTCTTGGACACTCGCTCTCATCTTCATTCTGTACAATATCACTGCTGTCACTGTTGTTATTGGTTTCATAGTCCGATGTGACTTGAGCGGCATCATCTGCAATTGCAAAGGCACAGTCAATTATGAAACTTACAGTAGCGAGAAGGTTCCCCTTTAAAAGAATGTTCCTAAAACCCACATGGTAAATATTGTTCAGGATGCTGTAAGATCCTATAGAGTCCTTACAAAATCTTATAAGAATAGAGGATCACAGGTTGAGAGAAAGCATACATTTTACATTTTTAACCCAATAAACAGAACTATGATCTGACATTTATATGATATTCAATTATTCCTCAACAATATGTCCTGTGTCACCCACAACAAACTTCACCAGCAAAAAGCTGGTTAAAATACTAGAATGCTCAGATGGGTGGGTGAAACTGAGATGACACCCAAGAACAAAGTGGTCTGTAGACTAAGAAGCAACAGCATGTGATGAAGACCATGAGGACATCCACATCCAATTTTGTTCCTGGGAATGATGACTGCCTTCCTTACCTAACTCCCTCCACTGCCTCCAATTTCTCTAAAGTATGCAAAATAAAGGGCCAACCACATAATGTCAAGTATCTGAAGAATCTGAGGGCAAAGACGTCAAGAACCTTCTTGAAGCTATATATGGTGCCTGTATGAAGTTAGCTGATGCCACTCTATGCCCAGACCACTGAAAGCATGACATTTCTGCTGACACATTTAATCTTCTCAACAACCCTTATGCCACTAGTGTTTGCATTCATGAAGTCTGACCCTGTCTTTTCTTCTACTTTTGATGAAGCCCAGTTTTTTCTCTTTTATAAAATAGATTTCTATGGAGTTGGGGATCTCTGCCCCTCCCTAAATTACAAAAATGTCTTCCTGTGGTTTCTTTCAGAAGTTGTATTGTTTTAACTCAGAATAATGTCCAATATGATGTCAAGTGTGAACTGCCTCCCCCCGTTCCCATTCCCATTGGGTTGTTTTGGCCTTTTTTTTTTTAAGATTTATTTATGCATACAAGAACTAGGTTACAGGCCTGAGGTGCAGGGGGTAAGAGGGTTCACTAGAGACAGAGTAGGGAGCTGAACAGGCAGATTGACTTAAATACACTGCTAAGGGGAGCAGTGGTTGGGTCAGGAAAGGTCTGCCGCACCATGTAGGTCACCTCCCTGGCTGCCAAGAATCGAACTCATGCTGCAATGACTGTGGATGGCTTCACAGTGTTGTGTTTTAACCCAGTGCACCACTGGGGAGGGCCCTTGCTCTGGCCTCTGTAATGAAATTCATTGTGCCTGACGTGGGTCAGGTGTGGGTCTAATATAGGGCTTTCTACCCTATCCCATTTGCTATATTTCAAATCCATACTCTTAAATTTTGCAGATTAAGTCTTGAACTCAGGTAATATATTTCCTCTAATCTTCACCTTTTTCAAGATTACTCTGGACATTCCACACTCTTGGAAGTGTTCTTGGTAACTGTTCTCATACATATACTAATTGTTATGACTGAATAATGGCTTTGCGCTATGCAGCCTATTCCAATCAGAAGTATCTTCTGGGACTTTCTTAAAAACCTAGCTTCCTTTCTGCTTTCTCATGCAACTGCTTCTATATTAGAATCAGGCATATATGAGAATTAACTGTCAAGTTTTAATTGCAGAATTTGTGGGTAGAATGGATAAATAGAATCAAAGGCTATAGCTCTATGTGAAGCAAAAGGTAATAAGGAAACACTCCCCTTATTCTATTAGTCTCAGCAGAGTCAGGGAAGATCAAAGGACATTCAGAGTCTTCACAATGCCATCAATTAATAAAGGGCACATAAAGAACACTCCTCTTGCTTGTTGCTTGCGTATGTTCCCTGTTCTCTGTGCACTGCCACAGCACCTGATCCTTCTAAGCAAAGAATCAGTTAACATTTATTGAGTACATAGCAAGAAATGCTGAAGCAGATCCTTAAGTATCATCTATGATAACTCTGGCATCCTGAAGTCTATGGTTCAAGCAATCATATTTTTTACCTTGCGAACTTTTGGTGCTAATTGAAGCAACCCCCTACGATGGCATCAATAAAAACAAAATAATAATTTTAACAGTACGAGCAGCCAATACTAACTACTTACAGTGATTCAGGTAATAGTAGGAACTGCTTTTGACTAGCAAGTAATTGAATTTTTTACAATGACTCTGGTTGGTAGGTACAATCATAAATCCCGTTCAGCAGAGGAAGGAAGTGAGATATACAGATGAAACTTACAAACCAGGAAGTAGAATCCAGTTATAAACCAGCCTCCAATGTACGTGTTCTCAAATCTCCATAATACTGTCTCAAGAACAAGCTATTTATTTTTTACAAGCTTACAGAGGCAAAAGCAAGCTCTTTTCTTGTCTGCAACAGAGCTTTCCACTTAGTATCTAAAATGGATTGTCTTCTAATATTCAAGAGAAAGGACATTTCTCCATAGTTTTATCAGGGATGTAAAATGGCCTCTCATTTACAAAGAGAGATGTGTTTGTGTATAGATGTATAGAAATAATTTGGGCAGCAACATTTTACCTACAACTAATCTAACTCTAAGTAGAAGTATTGCAGGTGATTTGATTTCCTTCTTCATTTTTTAAAATTTGGTATTTATGGCTCTCCCTGGTGACACTAGGGGTTAAAGCACCACATTGAGAAGCTTGCCATAGACACTTCAGTGAAGTTAGATCTCTAGCCAAGGAAGTGACCCACATGGCGTGGCAGACTTCTCCTAACCCATCTGCTGCTCCACTCAGCATTGTGCTTCATTGATCTGCCTGTTCTGCTCCCCACTCTGGTGAATCCTCTTACTGCCTCTGCACCTGTGGCCTATACCCTAGTTCTGTATGCATAAGTCTTAAAAAAAAATTGGTATTTAAATAAACAGGAATATGTGACTGTTTTTGATCAGTAAAATAAAAATAGCAAAATAAAACGATTTCCATTTGTAGGAACAGCACCCAAGAATTACCTGTTCTGCCTGCTGTCTGGATGGCAGTGCTACTTCTGTCCAGGGGCCCGTCAGCAGGATTCTCCTGGGGATATGGCCGTCCACAACTAGGAACATCACAACAGTTCAACAGTTGTAAATATAGCCCCTCTTTTCAAAAGGTGTACGCCAGCTTTAGGTACATTAAGGGAGATTTCCATGACCAAATATATCTCCTGCTTATTTGTTGAAGGGAAAAGGTCCATTTTGTGTAGACATGGCTATTGATAGTGAATGTACTGGTTTCTTTCTTTCTTTTCTTTTTTTTTTTTTTAATTTTGACTGTTTTTGACAGCATGAGCCATATAAAGAATGGGAACATTCATTCCGTTCTCAGCCTCCTCCATAGTCTAGACCATAACTGAGATGAAGCTGGCACATGTTGTTAGATTATTCAGAGTCCTGGGATACACTGCCATCTAATTCCAGTAGAGATTTTGGAGGTGCTGACATGCATCTGGTCAAAAATTTCTTTGCCAATGGACTACTACCCTTTTTTCCTAACTAAAAGTCACGGAGAAAATGTTCGTGCATAGTGGACAAGGCTCTTAACAGAGAAGGCTGGAGGATGTGGGTGACTGTGGCTTTCTCAACAGTCTTGACTGTTTAATAAATTAAAAAACAACCCCACACATGGCCTGGCAAGCTTCCCCCTCTCATTTATCTTATTTAAGACTTCGTGGTTGGATTTTAATTTTGCATTTTGCTCCTGGGTTCTTTCCTTCTGACTAGTATTACAAAGGGTCTCAGGGAGTTTTTATTTGTTATTTAACCACAGATCACTCTCTCTAAAGAGAAAGAAATGAAACATGGCTTATGACTTAATATATTACATGTATTGTCATATTCTTTTTTCTTAAATTGTGTTTACATATGTAGTGAAGATAAGCATTTTCCAGTTAGAGAGCCTCTTCATCCTAAGTATACTTATTTTTCAAGCCTGGAATGTAAGTGGAAAAACCTCTCACACAAAAGTATTTCTAATTATGAAATCCCATCAGTCTGATTTAGGGGACTAAAAATTTGACAAGGCCAAAGGAACAAGAAAGTAGATGACAACTGATGGGCTTGCATTCCCAGATGAAATTTGGTAGAAATAGAGTTTATTAGTTTTAAGATTTCTTATTGCAAGATAATGCTTAAAAAGGCAATTTAAATGACTAATTCAAACATACTACCTCTTAAGCCAAAAAATAGCTTGTTGCATAGACATTACAGCACCCAAGAGACTGGATTCCACGCCAAACCCTTCGAGTTCAGCAGGGGAAACCACAATAATTAGTCGTGTGTTTCTGGAGCTCTCTGTGCCTACATGGGTGGCTGCCTTGAAGGCAATAATAAAACATGGTTTGAATTATAGATTTATAAAGCCCAAACAAATAAAACACACACTACTGGATTTATAAACATTACTGAACAAGTAGGCAGTGAAGTTCCCTTATTTTTCTCCAAAATCTCTTTTATAAAGATCCCATTACATTCTTCCTGCTAAGAATTCAAAAAAATAGGTGACCGAGGAGAAAAGCTATATGAGCTGGAGACCATTTCTGAACAACCTTCTCCTTTCTTTGGGCGACTCATTTCCCAAAGTCAGAAGCTTACAGAAGGAGCATCTCTCTAGAAAATGCTGGAAAAGAAACCTGCTGATTTTCCACTGGGCTTCACTCTGGCTCAGGATCATACCACAAAAAAATGCTTCTTAAGGGTGTTTCACTAAACAGTAGATTCATGGACAATTATTGAGTGTTAACCTACAGAAATTGGTTCTGTGGTCCAAGAAATTTAGAATATGCTCCCTGAGACAAAAATCAAGAGGTTTCCTTTTCATAGGGCTCCTCAGAGCTTTTAATAAAGTATTATGATCTTCTTAGAGAGATATATGATATGTTTACTTTACCACAGAACTTTTTTTTTTTTTTTTGGTGGGAAAAAAGATGGTGTTACAATCCCACAGAAACTCTTTTATTAAAAAAGCTGTCACAGAGAAAGCAGCAGAATAACTTTTGGGTGGTGGAATAAGTTTTTACTCTGGTGCTGGGCTAACAAACAAAAATAATTTTCCCTTTCAAAATATTTGTAAAGAGAAAAGAGGTAAACATTAACATTATTAAAAATAAACAGCATTCACTTAACTTACAGAGTTTCTGAACACTGTATTTAAAAATGAAGGTGGTGGGCTTAAAACAGATATGATCCATTCATAAAGGTTTGTGAAAACCAAAATCTGGTAGAAGAAGACCACTGCATCATTAGCTTATTCAAAGTTATCCTCACTAACTTGAGAAAAGGAACAGCATTTTATGAAAGCACTCTCATGACTAGAGTTGGTTTAAAAACGAACACTCAACCCTTTTATTCTTAAAAGTGCTGTAATGCCTAAAGATATGTTATTCAAGATAAAGCAGTTACTGAACAACCATGAACACAGTCAGTTAGAAGGGGGTATTTTACTCCCAGGAATCAATCCAAAGGACACAATACTGCTTTGGGAAAAAACCCTCACTCCTATGTTTACTGCAGCACTATTTACAATAGCCATGCCTGGGAACAACCTAAATGCCCCCCAAACAGACAAATGGATCAAGAAGATATGGTGTATGTACAAAATGGAAGACTACTCAGTGATCAAAAAAGATAAACGTATGCCATTTGCAGCAACCTGGGTAGAACTGAAAGGAATTATGCCAAGTGAAATAAATCAAAAGGGACATGTTAAATACGGTCCAATGGTTTCACTTAGATGTGGAATATAGAGAAACTGAACAAAAGGCCAAGAAAAAGACAGAACTTGCAAGCTGACCTTAGATCTGAGGCACACAGCAGGGGAAGGGGGAGAAGGGTCAAAACAGGGAGGAAAGAGCACACCTGTGATGGATCACAGGTGCTGTGGTGGTGGGAGAATGATGGGGACACCACCTGAAGGGAGAAAACAAATACTTTACAGAAATGAGTAATGATGTAAGAGAATAATAAATTTAGGGGGAAAAAAAAAACCTTAGAAGAGGATTTCTTCATGACAGTGTTGGTGAAGAATGATTTTTGTTGTATGGGGCCTTTTTCCCTCACATTCTGGGAAGGACAACACTTATGATTCCACATCAATAGGTCAGAGCCCTGCAAGCAACAGTTAATTACATTCAGAGACCCACTTCTAATGTGTCATGTGTTATTTGCACATTTGAAACAAGTTGTAATGGGAACTGCAAACTTGAATATCCCTTTCGAAGCAACATAAAATCCCCCCTGAAGAACAAGCAAAAAATACACCCAGAGAACAGCCAGCTCTTGCCATGGCAAATGCCTTGCCATGGTTTTTTAGTTGTCTGTTTTATGCAATCTCCGTCAGCATACAGTTATTTTATATCATCACCAAAGGTGAGCTGCATGCATTACATGAAATATCAACTTTACTGACAGAAAAATCACTAAAAAATGGAGTTTCTATGCTGGCCACTTGAGCACACATCCCATTATCTTCTTCTTTCTTGTCAGTAACTCTGGGAACCCCACAAAGAGTGGTGTAGACTGGAGGGAAGTGTTTAACTGAGAAGGACGTGTAGTGCTGGTTTTACCATTAGTCAACCCCCAGATAATAATGTAAAATCCTCACCTGCTACACGACACGGGTGGAGTTAGCGTCTGGGGAGACAGGTCCGGGGCGCTCTGCGTGTAGGTTAAGGCCCTGTGAGAACTCAGGCCTGGTTTAGTCATGGTGTCAGCAGATTCTGGAAACTGCACTGTAGAGATTTTGCTAACTGGGCTGCTGGCAGGTGTCCCTTGGAGAGGTGAGGAACAGGGCGAGGAAAGAGGTGAAATTTTAACTAGGGTACCTGAGGAGGAAAGAGAAATATAAAGGCACTGAATAAATATCTTTGAAATGCAACATGGCAGTTCCAGTTTCATCAGGGTCTCCATTTTATTCATAAGGACTAGTGAGCATGCTGGCCTGCTCTGTATCCCACCATCTGGAATCAGGGTGGACAGTGGGGGCGGCTCCGTGGTGTGAAATGCGCATAGTGAATCATCATGAAAAAAAAAAAATCAGTGGCAATGTTGACAAACGCAGTTAAAGCCTCGGTGTCCTGGAGTAACTTCAGGACACAAGGATATTATTTTCTCCTCCCATTTTTGTTTCTCCTTGTCATCCTCACATGATGATAACAGCTAAAATTTACTCATGTGTTTGCCTTCTTTTAGGTTGTGAAGCTTTTAGCAGCAACAGGATCTGCAAGTGTTTTAATGTTGGTGCATTTCGAATGTGTTTGGCAGGCACGGGATGTTTTAAAAATGTAAATAAAGAAAATGTGTGGAGAGGCCATTCGGTTTGTAAAACATGCACATTTTCAGGGAAACTACTGCACATGTGTGACTTTTGATCAGCGTGACTTCTAATGAGAACACCGAAAAATGGAAAACCATCGCTCGCTTCAGATCCAACAATAGGCCTAAAGGTTACATTCTTAAGTGTAGATGTTTGTGCCAAACTGAGTTGACGCTTGATTGTGAAAACTGTAGAGAACCCTGGCGAGGTTTCCCAGTGTTTGTGTGTAGGGATGAGAGCTTTGGAAGTGACTCTCTAAACACAGTAAGGCAGCCTGCCCTTGACACTGGTGAGAGGTGAGACCCTTCCCCCCACCACTTGCTTATGGCTTGTCTTGGTTTCATGGCTGATCAATCTACTGTAAAGTGGGTGAAAGAAAAGTATAAAAACTACTGTTCTACTCCTCACCCCTGGAAAGTGTACAGCCCAGACGTACGTGTGAATATGGAGCTGGCTGTTTGCTTTCAACATCTATTCTCTTAAAATTTTCCTTGTTACACTCAAAGGTTTCAGGTCCACTGAAAGCAATACTACATGTTGAAAGACTTTTATCATTTGTAAGATTCTTGTTGGCATCATACTTTGGTGTTTTTTAAATACTTTTTTCGTTGTATTTTTCCTTTTTAATTGAGGTAACATTGGTTGACAACAGTTTATGTGATTCAGAGGCACAGGGCCACACCCCTCAGCTGTAGGGCAGCACCCCACACCCACCACTCAGGCACCCATAGTCCTCCACCACAGTCCGCTGGGCTCCTCCACCCTTTGCTTCCCACTCCCGCCCTTTGTTTTGTTTCAAAAGATGAGACATACCCTCTTGCTTTAATTAAAAGTTGAGGCCAGCAACCAATGCTTAGTCTTTTCTCAATATTGCTATTGTTGATTCCTAATCGATACACCTGTTCCCAGCAGAAAGGCCAAGTCATCTTCCCAGGTCATGTGTGCTGGCGAGCAGGACAGTCAGCCTGGGCTTAGCCCCTCAGGAAAGTGTGGGTCTGAACCAAGGCTACTGCCAGAGACTGCCCCAAGATGAAGAAAGATTCAGCATTGTGTGTCTCTTGACTGGCAAGACCCTCTAGTTTCTATTCCTATTGAAAATACATTACTGTTTTACCAAAGGTATCACAAACCTTCCCATTACATAGTATCTTCAGTGAGAAGAAAAAAAGTTCACTAAGTGTTTAACTCAGTTTCCCAAGCAACCTATCATCATAAGCATTAGGGTGGTGGCAGGTCACTGGGAAGTACAAAGGGTCACAAATTTTTTTTAGCAAGGATCTGATTTGAAAGCTTTGGGAAAAAATTGATTTTTAAAATTTTAATCAGAAAACATAATTCCTAGTATTTTTAGATTAGATTTTCTTAGTCTTATAATTGTTAATTTTTTAAATAAAATTTTGAGTGAAAATTTCACCAAGCTCTAAATCCCTTCCCAATTCTCCACTGCCATTGTATTCACAAATATTATTTTACACACAAACACACACACATTTGCTCTCATGCAAAAGAGGGTTGAAAAGGGCTAGAATAATTGAGACCTTGTTACAGTAAGGCCAAGCAAGGCTTCAAGTAATCTGAGGAAAGCAGAGGAACTACTGAAGAGTTGGATGCTGGTATAATGTGGTATAAAGTCCTAAGATATTTTGTGGCCCAGGGTAAAACACACCTCAGTGACATGTTCACTGTGCAAACACTGAGGTGTGCTCTGTCCCAAGACTCAGGATGTAGCAGCAGATCAAAAACAGCTTCCACTGTGCTCAGTTGATGGAAGAGAAGGAGCAGCAGAAGAAAGAGGAAGAGGGGAAGAAAAGAGGGAAGAAATACAGGAGGTAGAGGAGGGGGGAGGAGGAGAAAAAAGGAAAAGAAAGTCATGTAGTTTTTTGGTTTTTTTTTTTTTAGATTTATTTATTTGTGCATACAGAACTAGGGCACAAGCCAGAGGTGCAGGGGCAGTGAGAGGATTCACCAGAGACAGAGCAGGAAGCAGAGCAGGCAGATCGATGAAGTACACTGCCGAGGGGAGCAGTGGGTGCGTCAGGAGAGGTCTGCCAGCCATGTGGGTCACCTCCGGGGCAGGGATTGAACTCACACTGAAGCAGCTGTGGCCAGCTTGCAGTGCTGCGTCCCAACCCATTGCGCCATCAGGGAGGGCCCGAAGGTCATGTCGTTTTAAGTGACTTGCAGGAAAATAAAACCAAGGGTAGAGGATGAGAAAGTGCAGAAATGTTCTAAAGGCAAAATTCAAGCAGAGGCCTAATGAAATATGGAAGGCCTTTAGACAGTTTCTGCTCCAGAAAGAGGGGTCCATCCAATGTGGTGCAGCCAATGAAGAGGCCAAGGGGGCTGCGCAGGGAGTGAGAGGATGCTGGACCAGTCAGTTTATGCCCTGCTCAGGCCAGGGAAGGTTTCAACTGCAGTGTCTTTAAAAGTGACTCCATATAGAAAAAAAGTCAGAAGAAAAATATATAGATGTTTTCATTTATAGGAGGGAAGTAGGGGAACCAATTAAGACATTAGGGAAAATACAATAACAAGAAAAGACACATCAAAATAAAACAGTAATAAACAGACAACTATAAATCAGAGACATTTTGCAGAGGGGGAGAGAGAGGGATGGACTGAGAGTGGGATTGTAGGGGCGGTGCATGGTGGTGGGGATTCTAGGGTGACTACACCGGAGAAAAGGACATTGATGTAATATATACATACACATGCACACACATATATGTATATATGTACTTATATACACATATGTTTATATGTACATGTATACATATGTACACACATATATATGTATATACATACAAAAACAGGGTAAATATTTAATTTTTTCAAAGTCATCAAATGTATTATTGACAAGCACTGGATAATAAATAAATGGGGAGAGGAGGAAACTATAAAAATAAATTTTAAAAAAGTGACTGCTGATAGGCACAGATTTAGGCAATTCCTTCATTCCCTTGATAGCCAATTGTGAGCTTTTTGCAATTTTGCAAAGCAAGTGGGAACGCTTGCCCATTTCTGTCGGTGTATTTTTTGAAGGCCACTTACGAGAATGCATGTTTTTCATTGCTAATTTTTACTAGCTGCCTGCTGATATGCCCAGAGAAATACAACCTGGTCAACTGCAGATTTAGAAATCCACTCAACGATTAGAGATTTTGGAGCTGGAAGATGAACTAAATTTAGACAAATAGGCAGACTTTAAGACTCCAAACTTACTGCCTGGGATGAAATTTAAAGTAAACCTTGTTAGCACAGGAAGAGCACTTTGCTCTGCAGGGATCAGACTGCATATTTTGAACACTTCTAACCAGCAGAGGTCTTGGCAGCAATCCTGAAAAGCTGGGTATTTTTATTCAGGTGAGATGGAAAAGGTGTAAACATATGAATTCCTTTCTCTCAAGCCACCATATGCATTGTCATAGTTTATATAAGAGTTTTAAAGGGTCTCCTTGGTGGCCAGGGATTAAGTTTCAGTGCTCTCACCACTGCAGCCTGAGTTCCATCCCTGGCCAGGGAGCTGACCCACATAGGGCACAGCAGACCCTTCCTGTCTTCCCACTGCTCCCCTCAGCAATGTATTTCAGTCAATCTGCCTGTTCTGTTCCCCACTCTGTCTCTGGGGAATCCTGTCAGCCCTCATACCTCCCTCCTGAATCTCAGTTCTTGTATGCATAAATAATAAATCTTTAAAAACAGTTTTAAAAACAGAAATTGGGCACATATTTTCAGTCTTCAATGGATGGAGAAATAAAAGTAGGGATAGGAACCAGATACTCTTCTAGAAAGGATACACTACAATGAATTTATCAATGGTTCAGACACAGGAATAAGATGTTTCCCTCCATTTCCCACTTTAAGGGAGTGGGAAATGTGGGTCTTCCTGCAAATATTTACCAGTTTATTTCCTAAGAGGTGTTAACTGTAATCATGTTTATGACCTTCGTCATTTCCACTGACTTTGCTACACACATACATGAAGGGATTCAGGTCAATATGCTTTCTTGAAACATATCTATGTTCATTTTATATTTTAAAAGACTTCAGGAAAAGCTGTAACTTGTAAAATAGAAATCCTTGAATGATTAAAAATAGCCCTAATATGAAATACTTAAAAGTGAAATCTTCAAGGATATGGAATCAATGATGTGACTGAAAAATTCTGATAACTCATTTGAGTATTTCAGTCTTTAATTCCTTGCTCCTGGAAACATAAGAAAATGTGTGACTAGACACAAGAAACTGTGGATAGTCAAGGGAGATGTTGACCAGTGCTGGAAGGATGGGGCTTAAGGAAATCCATCTGGTTTGTGCTGTAAAGTCTCCCAGTTTAATTTTAATTGAAAAAGAAAGGAACCAGCATAGCTGATGAATATATGTCTCTTTCTCTTGCCCACAGGAAAATGGACAGACCTCATATTTTTCTAAAACAGAAAATATATATAAAGTATACAGAATGCAAGAAAAAAATCCTAGGGCCACAGTTAAAGTTCTCTCTTGTGTCCATTTTCTATAGGAAAAACTGGTGTGACTTTTAGGTAGAGAGCTATCTATAATCACTGTAATAGGATTACAAGAATCTTCTAAGAACCTGGGATGGGACTACTGCAAATGTAAAAATGTATGAATTGGAGGAACAGCAAAACAGAATGATACAATTCCACCTCTATACTGTGAATGGCTCATAGTCAAAATGCAAGATTGAAATTCCAAATAATATTTAAATCTTTTTAGGCTTTAATTAAAGCACACCTATATGACTTCATCCATTTATTTTATATCAGTAACTGCAGAGTAATTGGTTGTGTTTCACCGATGTAAATGAATGCTGATTGCCTGAGCAACAAGACACGATGTTTACTTGATTTGTGTAAAGAACAGGCTTCATGAATCCCCTCTGGAAATGGGTCATTTCTCTTTCAGTGTGAGTTCCCTCTCGAGGCTTGCATTCCCCCTACCTCTCTTGCCAATTTTTCCATACGTTCTTCTTCACATTCTCCTCACACTTTGATTCTGTTTTCATATATTCTCTGCCATGGAAAGGGGCTTTTCCCCAGCCCCTGACCTGCTGCAGCAGCTCAGTCAACCCCACCCACTGTCACACCACACCGTGCAGCCACTCTTTGGGATCACATACAACTGGCAATGAACTTCAGTTCTTGGATTCTTGGGTGTTTTCCTCCCAGTTGGGGATTTGCATGGTTTAGTTCGGCATGCTTTGGATACATGTTACTTTATAAACATTTCGCTCTGCTGTGAAGCTGTCTAAAGATGCCACAGCACAGGGCATGCTCCACATGATGTGACGGACAAGCCTTCAGTACTTACTGGCAGGCAGTGGGGCTCTGGCCTACGGTCCTACCTCTGCCACCTGCTTTTGTGGTGTCTCCCCATCGTGCTTTTCCTTTCACACATTGCCCTTTCTTCTCAAGTATAAGCCTCAAAACTGAGGTACTGCCTGCACCCCCTTGTTTATTGCTGCTTTATTAACAACTGGAAAGACATGGAAACAGCCCAAATGCCCAAAGTGGATGACTGGATTAGAAAGATGTGATACATATACACAGTGGAATATTACTCAGCAACCCAAAAAAAAAAAAAACATGTTTTTTGCAGCAACATGGATGGAGCTGGAAAAGATCGTGATTAGTGAAATAAGTTAGAAAGAAAAGGAAAAATACCAGATAGTTTCACTCATAGCAGGAGTATAACGGACCAGGGGAGAAAATAATAATAATAATGAACAGATATAGACCATAGACATTTTATAGAGTGAGGGGAGGAGAGGAGTGGGGGAATGGGATAAAAAGAGTGGGTGAAGGGAAATGTACTGGACTATGGTGATGGCACAGGGGTGATTTGGTGATGGGAAACCTAAGGGGATTACAACTGAGATGAACAAATGCACAAAATTATGTAAAACATTATTTTTAAAAACATATTTTTAAAAAAAAAAACTGTGGTACTGGACATTGAAGATGAGGCTGGTGCTCATGTAGTTGGCTCATTAGCTGTGTTTTCCCCAGTGAATGTGCTTACCCTACTTCTCCACTTCTGACTTTCTAGAAGGTTGGCTATTTTAATAATTTTCATTTTATCATTTACATGAAAAACATTGAGGCAGAAAAATGAAACCCTTCCATTATCTTTTACTTAGCCAATGACAGAAACAAGAACATCCTAATTTTAAATGATCTCCTTTGCTGTCCTCCAGTTGTTCAAGTATGAAATCATCAGGACATAAGAAAGGGTTCAGGATAACTGTGTGATCTTGGGCAAGCTACTTAACACTTTTATGCCTCAGTTTCCTTTTCTGGATTCCATTTCTGGGCTACATAAAAATGTAGAAAACTTAAACTCACATCTCATCCTTTGAGTTACATATTATTATTGTCTAATATTTTTATTTTGCCTTTAAAAATCTCTCAAAGTATATCTACAAATCTGGAAATATTATTTATGGCTATTGTGTTTATTTGGGTTGACTCATGATTCACAATTGACTTGGTGAACAACATTTTTTTATAAGCCCTCTGAATTTCCCCTTGATACCACTTTTCTTCTTTCTAGAATACACCATCAAACATTCTTTTAATTAAGATTTGGTAGGTGGCAAAGTTTTGATTAGCTGAATATATCTGCAGTTGACTCCTGCATTTATGAGACAGATTGCTGGGTGTACAATTCGGGGTTCAGAACTTTGAAGAAGTTCAACTGTGCTCCAATGCCCACTTCTGACATTTGTGCATTCAGATGAGCTGCCTTTCCAGAAAAGGAAATGCATCTTTTCCCCTGGTTGACTTTAATATATTTTTGTCTTTGGTGTTGTATAGTGTCACTGTTTTGTATTACATGAGAATGTTCCTTGACTGTTTTTCCTCAAAGTTTAAAATTTCCTGCCTTCCACTAAAACTCTGATTATGCATATTAGACTTTCTAATTACTTTTCTTCTATCTCTTAAAACCTCTTCCAATTGCTCATCTTCTGCATTCTGGACATTTCTTCACACATTCCTCCTCCACTTTTCTACACTCCCTCCCGTCATCTCTTTTGCCACTTAATTTATCACATTCCTGGACTGCATTTCCAAGTCATTTAGATGTTCTGCAATGATGCCTTCTCTATTACTACCATGTTTTATGGCCCTGTGTTTTTCTTGAAATACTTAAGCATTTTAAAATTAGAAGAAATATTTAAATATTTTAGCCCTTAAATATCTCAATCCTGTTAGAGATGGGGAAGGAATTTCCCCGTTTTCTCTAATGCATGTTGTTTCTCATACCTCTGTAGTGCTTCCAAGCTCCAATTTTGACTTAAAGTATTCAAGTTGCATGGCCCTTAGCTGGTAACTCTTTCCACCAAAAATCATCTACCCCTATTTTTGTAGGCAGCCATGGGTTCTACCAATCTGGGACCACTTTAATGCCCATTTTGAAGTGTCAGGTTTAATGTGGAATGCTCAAACTCAGCTCCTTTACCTAGTTGGAGTTCCAGAAGAGTTCCAGCACTCCACAGCTAATCTGTGTTTGCCCTTAAGGCATTTTCAAGAAAGTATGGTTTTTGCTTGATTCAGACAAAAACTCTGTTGTATTTCTCAGGTGTGAATGACTTCTATTCAATTTAAAGAATATTCTACAATTTAAAGAATATTCTAATAAACAAAGAGGCTCCAATTTGATTCATTTTTTAAGTAAATCTGATTATCTTTGTTTTTTTATAGATGCAATTCCATAAAATCATATTTTCTAGAGGAAGTGTCTTTCTACACTGAACAGTAGAGATTTAAGGTGATGCTGAATTGGTTCAAAAGTTGCCAAAGTGGGTGAGCAAAGGGGAAAGAAAATCCTCAGTTGTCCTTTTTAGATGCCAGAGACATCACAAAATGCTGCCTTGAATGTCTAAAAAATGAAAAGTTCATTTTTTCAAGATGGGCCCTTGAAATTAGTTAAATAGAACTACTGCTTTTGTAACCTTCACAATAACATCACCATATCAGCAATTTCTGCTTCTATGATGCAGTGGCTTGTAGTAAATTTACACTTCTTGTACTTCTATGAGAAGAAACAGAAACACCTGAGTTTGGGAAAAAAAAAAATCTACCCCATGAGAAAGGACACATTTCTCCTCAACCCACTTGAGTAAGAAGCTCTGTAGGAACCTTAGCAGTGAACTCTTCATGAGACTCTAGAAGGCAAACCTGGACACAGAATCTAACAAAACTGGGCTTCAGCTTTGAGTCAGTGCAGAATCTAAGTGAGATCACTGTCCCCCAAATCATTTCACATTCAGGTGGGAACATGAAGTGATCTGGGGATCCACTTTCTGCACCACTTACCAGAGCTCTGGGTCCTGTTCCTGTCTGTCTGCTTTTGACCTTCTCCACTTGTCTGCTCCACCAGCCATTTACAAACTTAAGTTCCGCACACTTTCAAAATGTTGGATCTTGTATCCCTCTTTCTTTATTTGAAAATCATCCCACAGCTCCTTATCAGAGCCTTTAGCAGGTTATAGAGCATATTGTCCACTGATTAAACTGTCAACTGGATTGTGAGAATCTGTGAGGAGGAGCTGGGTCTGGCTTAGTCACTGCCATATTCCTAAACCAGTCCGCTGTCTGACGCAGACAACACTCTACAGGATATTTGCTGAGTTCACAGAGCACAAGGGAAGAGAGATGCTTTGGAGCCCATGGGGTGTTCTGACACCAGATCCTGGGTCTGGTCTACTGTGACACTTCATTTGGCTCCTTTCTTTACAAGTGACAGTCAGAGCCTCTGAGTCTTCTGCTTGCTGACCTGAGGTCTTTTTCAATGTTCTCAAAGGTCCTGAATTGTATTTTCACAGCTATGCATACCTCTTTTAGCATGTAGATATTTGGAAGGGAGGAAGTGACCTAAAGATTTCTTTGAAAAAATTCTAAAACATACAGTAGATGAAACATTATATTGATTTTAAAGCCACATGCCTGAAAAAGAATTTTCTTGAAACAGGCACTAAAAACAGCACTGACATTTGCTAAGTCCATCCTTGATTTGTATAAGATGATGCTGCCACACAGTCACCTCAATGGCAACACTGACTTCTACTCATCCAGAAAGTTCCAGATACGAAGTATGAAACGGTATCCTTGAAAGAACCTGGATCATTATATAAAGTGTCAAGTGAGTCAACAGATTGGTTATAGAGAACTTTCCCTTTTAAAACAGTCAAACCAATCAGATCTGAGAATAGGGCACCTTCAGAATCTCACCAGAAGGCCGAGGGCTTGATTTTCACTCCGAGCCTCAATTGTGGTGAGTGCGAACTCTTCTCAAAAATTACTTACCTGGACGATTTTGTTTTTTAGCCTTTATGTGGTTAGTCGCTGAAATGGCATAGGATGAAGTGAAGGATCTGCTTTTGGTGAGAGTCATCATAGCTGGGTTACTCCAAGTATCTGGACCGACAGCACTAGAGAGAGAGAGCATGAAGAAAATGAAGGAAATATTCACCCATTCCTGGGCAGATGTTGCCAGAATCCCGCCATCATTTCCATCATAATACTCTTGCCTTCCTGAGTAATGGTTCAGGCTCTGTGCCAGAAAGCCTTTCCTTCCAGATCACAAAACAGGCTACCTAAGCTCAGTCTCCTTGGCTGTGGAAAGAGAGAAATCACTCATCAAACTCACTGGGTTAACAAAAGGAGGTAACTTTTTTATTTATCCAAATCATCTGAATCCAACATGATCTCATTGTACTTCTACAATCACGTTCCTCCCAGATTTTCCAAAACCTTGGCAAATTTACTGGTTAAGATGTAGGATAACTTTCATTTCTTTTACTGGTGATTCCCTGGAAAGAAAGGGGGCAGTGAACCAAATCTCCTTGTGAACAAGCTAGTAATGAATGGATGCTTTGTAGGTGAAAGGTAATGGGCAGTCTTCACCTACAGAATGATTTTAGCAAGGCGTACTTGGTCTATGTTGCTTATTACACATAAACCTGGAATCAATAGATCCATAGAGGGTTGTGATGTAGAATGTTATATAACCATGCAATTAATGGGATGTACATTTGGGAGGTGTTCCAAACTAAAATTTCCTGCATACATTGTTCCAAACCTTACTAGTTAAATTTGAAACAGAATCTGTCCTTATTTGAGAGAGAAAAGAATTTAGGAAGCAGTGCTGACAGTTTTGGACTGCTAGAAGGGAAAAATGCTTGGGCTGTGTTTTGTTACCAACTGTGTGCTTTCAAGCATTAGTAAATTTGGTATTGGGTGAGAGTTATAACTTTCATGAATATAATTTGGCAGTCTTTGCCAATCTTTAGTTGGCACAGTAAGCAGGACATACCTGAAATTGATGGCATTATGGGGCCATGAATGGATGGAGACTGTCATGTAAGCTGTATAATTAGTAAAGTGCAACTGGAGGTGCTCCATACCCAAAATGGCTTCTTCTGTGCAAGCAACAGTATGCATGCATTGCTTAGAACCTTACTGCTTCCATTAAAACCACAGCATGTGCTACTCTGCAATGTAAGGACTTTTAGGCTGCTGCATTCATGGTTTCAGACCTCTCAAAAGGAAGAATTCTGAACCTGTGCTGGGCTATTGCCTGTATCCCTTGGTTATCAATAAAGTGAACCCTGGGTCTCTATAGTGAGTGTGATGTCCAGTTTGACACACATGGTACCTTCTTTTTTTCCTTAACTGCTGACTCAGGCCTTTTTTAAAAAAAGATATTTATGCTTACAAGAAATGGGGCACAGGCCAGAGGTGGATGGGGGTTGGTGAAAGGATTCACCAGAGAGAATGGGGAGCAGAACAGGTAGATCGACTGAAACACACTAATAAGGGGTGAAGCGGGTGGGATAGGAGAGGTCTGCTGCACCATGTGGGTCACCTCCCTGGATTGAACTCGTGCAGATAATCTCATAATGCTTCACTTAACCCACTGCTCCATAAGGAGGGCCTGACTCAGGCCTCTGAAAGTCTTTTCTGAGAGACTGGAAGTGGGGAGAGAGGAGAAGGAATGGAGCAGGGCACTGGCATAGGTGGCTTGATGGAGGGTGAGTGAAGCATGCACACATACAGGAGAGGAAAAATGTAATCCCAAGGTTGTGTAGACATATAAATGAATGACAAATTTAATAAAACATTTAATTCATTTTTCTGCTTTCTTTTAATAGTAGTTTACCAAACTGATACAAATTAGACAGATGAAAGGTACAACAGCAGCATCTATCAAATACAAGGAAGGAAAACATCCCTCATATTTTTCTTAGAAATCTCATTCTAGGTATTTTATAAATGCCTGGAATTTTGAAACAGTAAAGTCAAAGAAAACTCTAAAAATGAGACTAATAATCACACTATTATTTCCTTATAACACAATTCTCCTTTAACTCCTTTCACTGACTTGTAAGTTTTATTGTAAAGAAATATGTGATGTATCTGTGACAGACGAATTTTAATTTCTCAGTACACCAAATACAATGAATTGGTATTAGTTTTCTATGTAGATTTTTAAAAGACCTTAATGTTAATGATTTCTCAATATCTTAAAAATTTACATTATGAAGGCTAGTTCAAAAGCTGCCTACTGTCATTATTTTTTAATAAAGGCATTTAATACATGCTGCTGTTTTTATTAAAATCCAATAAAAGATCTTTTAATATATGGAGAATCAATAATCTTCAACATAGATAATCATAGCTTATATCCCATTCTTAATATAATATTAATTTATTGAAATAGATCAATAAAATAATAAATCAATATACTTGTCTCTGTGTGTGTTTGTGTGACTATAAATACCTATTCAAATTGGCAGGTTTATCCACATAGTGTGCTTTGTGCGATCCTGCTGGGAGCCTTTCTTTTGACGCTCACTCTTTTGATTCTTATTCAGATCTTTGATTCTTATTCAGATCTCACATGTATATATTAATTTGGATTCTGGAGAGTAAAACAGTAAGGGGAAAGCTTTCCTTGTTCTCCTCCTGCCGTCACAGCAGTGGGAAGCTCGGCAACTGCCGTGGAGCTCAGCCCTCCTCCACCAAAGTGGATTCTAGGATCTTAGTCTGACACATGAAAATTGCAACCCAGCTCCCAAGTTGTGCCAGGTGCCGAGAGTTTCTCTAACCCTCCTTTCTGCCTCATATTCAGAACTAGAGCTCAGGTCCAAGACTGACTTGTAGTGATTAGGGTATGATCTATTTCAGACTTTTGAAAGCCTATTTTAAAAGTTCCTTCTGGGCCCTCCTGGTAGGCTGGGGTTTAAGTCTTAGCACTATCACCCTGATGGCCTGAGGTCAGTTCCTGGCCAGGGAGCCACACATGGCAGCAGACCTCTCTGGTCTCGCCCGCTGCTCCCCTCAGCAGTGGATTTCAGTAGGTCTGCCTGTGCTGCTCCCCACTCTGTCACTGGTGAATCCTCTCACCCCCTCTGCTCCCCACCCCTCTAGCCTGCACCCTAGTTCTTCTATGCCAAAATAAATACAAACTTAAAAATCAACAAGATTTCCTTTTGATTCTTCCACTAAGTTTCCCTCCCACTTGCCTCTGAGAACACAACTGAGTAGCCACCTGGCTGCATCCCAGTCACCAGGCTATGCAGAGCGAGCCACAAGGAAATCATCCCACTCTCTACTTCCAGATGACTCTTCTTTTCATACCCATTTCTACTTTTCTTCCTACCACTGCAGTCCTCAAAAAGCCTCAATGCAAGGACATAAGAATGAAGAGACATAAGGCTAAAACTCAAATCACTTTTGAAATCAATCAGCAGTTTTAGCACCAGTTCTCCTATGAGCAGAAGGTTTTAACTTCCACATGTAGTCAGGATTGGTGATTATCTCAGGCTGTCTTCTCCCTATTTTCACCTACGACAACATGAGCCAACAAAGCTAGTGGTTTTTAGAAGTGGTGCAATTGCTCTGCAATCATAATATGGCTTTGTTTAGGGTGTGAACTGTCTTCAGAGTGAATTTCATGTCTTCATCATGGTGAAAACGTTTTCTGATTTTCACATTTTACAGCAGGATTTTCATAGTACAGTTAAATCAAGGAATAGAAAGGCTGGAAAAAGTCTCTGTAAGCAAGATAGCCTTTGATATTTTTAGGGAAAAGAGAAGGAATAAGGAATATGTTATTCTTTATCTATTTTGAAAATATTTCATTATTTATTTTACAAAAAGAATGCCAGGCTCCTTGGAAGTTAAATTCATAATTATTAATATCTTCTTCCTCATGATTTTAACATCAGCCCTTGATCTCATTTAACTCAGTGAAGAAGATATTAGGAAAAAGTGAGATGTGACCAGAAGAAACTATCACACACACAGAGAAGACATTTAAGAAATCATGGATGGATTTTTGGTAGATCTTCTTTTATGGAAAGAAAATCATGGAGCATGAAACTATGTAACAGCAGGAATCCTGGTTAGGTGTAATGGTAAAATTGATTTCCTCTCTAAATGACATCTGCTATGAACACATTTCATTATGCAACATTTAACTATCGTACTATTCGTAACCACTTATCAGTATCTGGTGCTGCAGAAAAATGACAATGGTCAATATTTTCAGAGGAAATTAAGGAATTTCAAACTTTAGGAAATGTTCACAACAAACACTGCTTAACATCTCCTGTGATGGCATTTAAAGTTTTAGCAAAGCCCAGATTATCAGCTGGAGGTGAGTATATACTGAAATAGAAAAGAATCTTTGCAGTTTGCTTCCACCTCTACGGTTTGATTGGACTAGAATTTTAAGATGGAAGAATTTAATATATACTTAATAAAGGAAACAACAAAAGTCAGCATTCATTAAATGCCTATGATTTTGAAAGGTTTCTGTTTCTCTGCCAGTCTCAGAAAATTGCTTTATTTATATTCAAAGTCAAATCCAGAGAAAATGATTTCTAATAGTCCTGTCCTGGAAGCCAGCAAAGATGTGGTTATTTTTCAGTCATTAGGTCCTTCATAAAACAAACACAAATGTCTCAAAAACCTGAAATCAGTGGTAAATGGTGGCAGGGTAATTACATGTATATAAAGTATGGGATTTTATTCTTAACAGAAAAGGACAAATACAATACCTCCCTCTAAAAACACCTTTTTCATGATAAAATTTTTCAAAAACTCCTTCCAGATCTTAATAATATCTTTTCTTTAGCTTTTATAATTCTAGCTTTGAAGTCATTCTATTACACTCAATAAAGTTTAAGTTGTCCACTGTCTGGACATTATCTAGGTTTCTTAGGAGGGTGGTCTGGGATAGCTTGTCAGGGGCCTGGGGAACATGTGAAAACTGCATGTGTCAGGTTGGATACTTCAAATTTAAGGGTCTAGATGTGGATCTCAATCTAGATAAAATCTAACCTCACTCTATTTGGGGCTCAATACTTGCCATCCAGTCACCAAGTCCCTGTCCCCGCTGACAGTGAAGGCCAGACCACACAACTTATGCTCAATTACCTAGGGTTAATCTCAGACTCTTCTGCATGTAAGCCATATATCTTTTTCATTTTCAAAGGGGACATCCAATGAACTTTGAATTTTCAAAGGGGACATCCAAATGATAAATTACTGGGGCCTCCCTCCCCAGTAATTTATCATTTTTTGGCAAGTAAGTTCTCTAAGTCATGTGAAACCAATGGGAGCCTCGTCTCACCTGGATGAAGGTGCCTCATGCAGTTTGACACTGGCGCTACGGTCCCTCCGCACTGGGGCTGGCTCCAAGGTGGGCAGACCTGTGGCTGAGGTGGTCGTTGTCCACGTTGAGGAAACTCGCCTTAATAAGCCAGGGGGCAAGCTCCTTCTCAAGCGCTGGGAAGATGAAGTGCTGATTTGGTTATCGCGCATATTTTCAACCACCGACTTCTATGTAACACATTGGAAGGAAATGAGTTTTCAGATGGAAGTAAATTTATTATGTTACTTGACTCTCGCTTATTTCACTTATTTAAAACTTGGGTGTACAGGATTTCAAGAAGAAATTCTGAACAAAATGAATGAATATTATAAAGATAGCGTCTTGGCACTTCCTGTTAATGATTATATAAACGGGATCCTAGGGATGAGGAACCACTGGGATGATTTTACAGTTTTATTAGTTTGCTATGATTTACACATCTGTGCACATAGATTATTAGTTATTATGAGCAGTTTTCCTTAAAAGTCATGTGTTTGGAATTGGTTTAATTTGCACATCTTGTACAAGAGTCCTACTAAAGTATTCATTGATTAAATTTTAACTTCTTGATTTACAAATGAAAGCAGCTATGTTTAAGAGCACAAATCAGAAAATTCACTATGTAAGGTGGTGAAGGTGACTTAGATATCATGTGGGTAATGTCACCAGTACAGACTTTTTTTTTTTCTTTAAGATTTATTTATTTGTGCATACAGAACTGGGGTACAGCCAGAGTTGTAGGAGAGGTGAGAGGATTCACCAGAGAAAGAGTGGGGAGCAGACCTGGCAGATTGGCAAAGTACACTGCTGAAGGAAGCAGCAGGCAAGACAGGAGAGGTTTGCTGTGCCATGTGGTCACCTTTCTGGCCGGGGATCAAACTGGTACTGAAGTAGTTGCAGCTAGCTTCTTAGTATTGTGCTTTAACCTGTTGCATCACCAGGGAAGGCCCAGAACCACACTCCCTCTTCTTGAAAGACTATGCTGATTGACCCAAAACCTCTTTTTGCTGTTTCTCTTCCTGCCAGGTCCAGTCCAAGGGAACATATGGCTGCATCAGCAATCACACAAGATCCTGGTCTCACCAGGATGAGTCCTGGTATATTGAAAGTGTCTTGACCTTAAATATTAGGCTGGAAGTATTTTTCTAATACAACTATGCCAACAGTTATAATAGATAGAGGCTCAACCCATTTTTATTATGATTGCTTATTCCTTGTAGAATAATTGCATAGCCATGATTCACAAAGAGGCATTCTGCTCTTCTGATGATAGTAAAAAAGGGGAAGTATATGATACCATGGAATTCAAGAAAAACTCTGGTACTAAATTGTTTTTGATGCTATGCAGAGATCTGACTATTGCATCTTGGCAGGTACTTCAAAGGGGAGAGGTCAAAAGCTGTAAATACCAAGATTACTGCCCTCACATGTCAATGATCTCATGTTTTTTTGAGACCCAAAGGAATCAGTCTGTCTCTCCTTATTCCTTTATGTCATACAATGCTTACTCAAACCTTTCTCCAAGAAGCACATGCTTAAAAGCAACTATGTACCACCTAATTAACAACATTTGGTGAAGAGTACAATAGCAAGAGAACAATGTTATTGCCATGATTGCCAGTTTATTGCTGGATGTGCCAGGGATTGCTACCCATGATGCTACTTAAGGATCTTTAACGTGACTTGCTTTCAACTCATACTGAGATCTACCCTGGTACAAGATCTTAGCCTCTGTTCAGAAATCCAAACATTTTGGGTTGAGGAAAGCCATTGCTTCTGTAAAGACTATCCTACCGAGACATTAAAGAACAAAGGAGCCTTGCATTTCAAGAGCAGTGTATTTCAACAGAACCCACACTGGCATCTGAACAGGGACTTTTTTCTGTTGTTTTTTCCTGCTAGACTCTTCCATGGAAGAGGCTCTGTCACAGACAAGTTAAAATTTCTTGCACATCTGAATCAAAAAGATTCCAGAAGGAGCTAAAGTATTTACAAAAAGCTGTTAAGCAACAGGACAGGTTTTATGATTAATTTTTATTACTTGGACTGCAGAGGAACTGACGTGAATCTGCATATGAATCTGACAAGAAAAAGAGCTAGAAGACAGTCCAATTCAAATTCAACTAAAAGAAAAAGTTTAACCTCAGGAGTACGTCACTGATACCCACCTTGGGAATAGCCAGCTTGTCTTTCTCAGAGACTTCTTCTGAATCAGAACAGGTGTAGTTTTCACTGAAAGTCACGACAGGATTTGCTCTGGGCTTGTGAATGGCCTGGAAGGTGAGCTGTGTGCTGAGCAGGTTGCTCACAGCCCTCAGGGATGTGCACACAGTGGGAGGCAGGGAAGGGTCTGCCAGGAGGTCAGTGATGAGGCCATGCGCCTCACCCATCACGGCGATGTCCACAGTGATGCTGGTTCCTGAAGACTGAGCACAAACAGGACAGGTAGTGAGACAAGGCTTATGCCAAAGGCACCAAGAAGAAAAGTGGGCTTTCGGAGGACAGGTAGAAACTTTGTAAAGATCGCTCCTTAGGAAGAACTCAGCATTTCAACGTATAATACTATGGAATTTTATTCTGAAAGCAATACTAATGTGGTCACATAGTTTTAGTTTTAGTTATGCAGTTGACCCTTGAACAATGCGAGGGGTAGGATTTTCACATGATCCAAAATTTGCACACAAACTTTTGAGTTCTGAAACTGTAAAATGGTGGTAACTGGAAGTCCTATCAAATAACATAAACTATTAACGAACACATATTTTTTATGTCAGATGCATTCACTATTATATTTTTACAATAAGGGAAGGGAGGAAAAAAACATTTATAGTGCTGTGCCAGACTAACTGTAAAATGAACCTATGCGGTTCAAGTCTGTGTTGTTCAAAGCCAACTGTATTTGAACGTGTTATGTGAGGAGGAGAGAGCACAAAAAGCAACTCTGTGGTCGGATCTACAAATTGTCCCTCTTGTTCTGGTTGCCACATACAGAAATTTCAGTCCTGGATGCTGGGGCGCAGCTGTCATACTTGGTCACACTCCCTGCCAGATTCACAGTCATCACCCTAGATTTGTTGAGGAAATGCAGGTCACAGAACCAGGGCAGCCACAGAAAACAGGAAGAAGATGAGAGCTGAGGAGAGTCCAGGCCAAGGTGAGAGATGCAGCATAAAGATGGCACCTAGAGGACCTCTCACCACGAATGTTGTCACGTGCTGAATCAGAAGAATCTACAGAACGCTACCTGGTGTAACCCTGCCTGGGGCACATAGGTTCTGGCATACGACTGCTTCAACCCACTCCTGACCCTTGACCCTACCACGTTTTAGATACGATCTTTTGGGCAAGATGCTCACTTCTCCACTCATACAATGGACTAAGTAAAAAGTAGTGACCTCAGAAGGCACTAAAGGGGTATTAAGTATAAAGCACTTAATAGTATATTGGCAATTGTAAGTTAAGTGCTCATGAACAGTAATGATATAAATAACAGCAGTAATAATTCTAGAATTTTCAGTAAGAGGCTATTATAATTGTAGTTATATCTTTGGGAAATAGTGAAATTTCATCATTCTCTTATAACAGCCTTAAAACTAAGCTCCAGAGAGCTGAAAAATTTAATGTATAACATTAAGATTATTAAAAGAAAGATTATAGACACTTCTATAATCTCAGAACTAGGAAGACCGTTAAAATACCATAGAAATTCGGGCCCTCCTTGGTGGTGGGTTAGGATGCAACCCTGTGAAGCTGGCCTTGGCAGCTTCTGTGTGAGTTCTACTCCCAGCCCCGAAAATGACCCATGTGGCACAGCAGACCTCTCCTGACCCACCTGCTGCTCCCCTCAGCAGTGTACTTCATTGATCTGCCTGTTCTGCTCATTACTTTCTCTGATGAATTCTCTCACTGGCCCTGAACCTCTGGCCTGTACCCCAATTCTGTATGCATAAATAAAATCTTTTAAAAAAGACTTACAAATTCATAATCTGTCAAATAAATATCTGATGGATCTGACTAAATAAAGGGATAATACATCTACTTAAGAGAACAAATCATAACCAAAGATACTGAGTATCAAAAGGAAGAACTTTTTAAAAAGTTTAATAAAAGACAAACTTAGTGTGAATGAATAGATAGCTGAAATAAAATGCAAGTGATCAAATATATAAAAGCTATTTGCCTCCCTAAATTTAAAAATGCAAATCTGCACAATAAAAGTAACTTTTGCTTTTCAAAATGTCAAAATAATCCAAGAATGAGAGTACCAAGTATTAGTAATGGTTGAAGAAATGAGCGGTGAGTAAAAATAATCTAGCATTTTTGGAGGAAATTTTGCTAAGTCTGTTATCTATTGCTTATTTGTATGATCCAGCCCAAATAAGGTAGACATATAAACTACAAAATATATTCAAATATAAATAAAAAGGTATAAGGACTATAGTAGAACTCTAATAGTAACTGCCAAAGAAAGCAATCACAAATGTCTATCAAGAAATGTTAGGAATAAAAGTTAATATTATGTTAATATTATAAAGTGGTATATAGTTACTTAAAATATTTGGCTAAACATAGTGATGATCACCTGGAAAAATCCTTCTGTAGTATTGTTACATGGGAGGGGGCAGTATATCACACAAAGTGATTATATTATATGAATATAACATGTATATTCTATCTTATTTTTTTAAATCAGAAGAGCACAATAATTATGAAAACACCCAAAATACCTAGTCCTGCAATAAGTACAAGCAAAGGAAACGTTTTCTGTGAAGCTATCATATAGAGCAGTTGTGTCTCTTTTAGGATAATAGTAGTAACTAATAAAATGACCGCAATTGATAATTTTTTAGAACATGTCTTCAAAAAAGATATTCTTATTATTTGCATTTATTCACCAAAAATAACTTGCAAAAATCAAAATCAGATAGGTAGGACACAGAAATATCAGTCTGCAAACACAAATACTCTGATTCTACAGCATAAGTTCTGAAATAGTTTGCCAAAATAAATGCTCAACTTTTTCTGTTAAGTTTTGAAATACACCTGCAAATATGTAAAGCATCACTTAATTCTTGTGCTATGATATTCTCTGCACCTAAGTATCTATTAGGAACCAAAAGTAGGGCCTTCCCTGGTGGTGCAACAGGTCAAAGCACAACAATGTGAAGCTCTCTGCAGCTACTGCCACACAAATTTGATCCTTGGCCAGGGAGGTGATTCACATGGCACAGCACCTCTCCTGTT